CTGGAGGCCTCACCCCGCAGGCGTCGCCAGTGCACACGGAACACTGTAAATACGCACCACACAGGCCCCGAACCCGCAGCCCAGACAGCGACCATCACTCCAGCACCTCCATCTACACCCGTCACCTCACTGCAGGCCCGTGACCCAGGCAGGCAGGGCCCAGCACGGGCCCACAGGTTTTTCTTTTCTAAAGCAAGCTCTTTCCTACAGCTGCACGACAAGCAAAAAGAAAGTAAAACCTTGCTTCTCATAGGAGGGGAGGGAGGTGGGTGGGAGGCAAAGTTCAAACCCAACAGCCCCACCCCTAGGTGTAGCCTGTTCCCCAGAGAACATGGGCCCGGGGGTGGAGGGTCCACCCCGAAACACGCTGGGACCCCAAAACTACATTTAATACACAATAGCTGGGAGTCAGGGGCAGCTTTCTTCCCACACTTGTACCTCATTTGCCCTGTTTAGGGTGGAAGGGCATGAAAACACCTGGAGCTGCCCACAGGCACGTCCCACAGACCAGGGACGCGGCTCCCACGCCGCTGCAGGATGCTGGCGACACCAAGATGGCAGCTCCGTGCTCAGCCTGGCCCGGGCGCCAGGTCGACACAGAACCTGACTCCCTCGGTGCAGGGGCGACCACCATTCCCTTAACACAGGCCTGAAGACCCCGAGGATCGAGGAGTGAGAATATCTTGCTGACACAGCCAGCCAGCAGGTTGCAGATTCGAGCAAGGGCTCAAGGCCAGAGGTGGACCCTTTAGCTGTGACACCAAGGACAAGCCGTCGTGCTAATGGGGGCGTGGGAGCATCTACACACACCCGAATTCATCAGCCCCCCCACCCCCGGCCCTGGAGGGGATGTCTCCCCTCCCCTCGTTTCATGCCTGGACCCACCACCCCAGCGTCACACAGTTACCTCCTCATTGAGTGGGCGCTGGTTTCTGTGGCTCCTGTCACTGCAAACCGGGAACCTGTGCTGAGGGACGTGACGGTTGGTTTCTGCAGTGCAGCAGCCCAGCCGCCCCCACACGAGAGCAGGCCGAGCCCAGGGGCTGAGCCAGGGGATTCCAGCTGAAGCTTCCAGGAGTGGGCACACGGGGCCGAGGTGCCACGCGCTTCAGCTCACCGTCCTCAGCAACTCTTCCTGGGAACTTGTTTCACGGAGCATTCTTCTACTTTGTGGGTCCAGGAAGAGCCAGCCTTGCTGGGGCGGGCGCAGTGGCAGTGGCTGGCCACATGTCCTGACTCAGGCAAATCCTCCCCACATCTAGTTATCTGTGTTGTGAAGGAAACTCAAGGCACTGCGTTCGTCACCAGCCTGACCTCACAGGTTGGACGAGCAGAGTCAAACCGCCAGAGACATCCAGAATTCAGCTGCCATCTCGGTCCATTCCACCTCCAACGTGAGAACTTCAGGTCAAGAAGATATTGAAATAAGAGCAGAAAGAAGCTTTAAATCCAATCAGAGGATGTTACTGATTCCTGTGAGCAGGTAAAGGAACAAAAAGTGTCCCCTGGTGCCACCAGCCTGACCAGGGTCAGTCACCCCCGGGACATCATTGGGCGGCCCTGCCATGAGGGCATCTGAGGAAGCAGATGCAGCTACTGGAAGACAGCAGAGTTCTCCCCCATTTTGGCACCCCTGAGATTTAACCGCCCCCTAGACATGTTTAGGTGGCTCGGACTCATAGTGTTATAATTAAAGATTTAAAGATGTGCATCCTTGACACTTAGTACATTACATTTTTAACCTAGCCCAATAAAATAACAGATCCAGCCTCAGATTCCATTTTTCAACATGTAAATTGAGCCGCTGATTCAGGCTCATGATTTAAGATGACATTTTGCTGCTACATGCTTCGAGAATATCTAGTTGAATGAATCTTTGCAAAACTTCTATCTTTATGTCCTTAGATGCTAAGAATTATTTACATCTTCATGGAAGGTGTGTGTCAGACGGACCTCAGGGGGAGGGGGTGACAGGGTAGCGGAGCTGGCCCTGGAGCTCTGGAGAGTGAGTGAGGCGTGTGCACATTCAAGTGTGAGGCTGTTCTCCCCACAATCACAGCTTTGTAAATGAATGTCAAACCAATAAAAAATTTTTAAAGATTTATTTATTTATACAGGATCCGGGGTACAGGCTAGATGCGCGGGAGGATGAGAGGATTCACCAGAGACAGAGCGGGGAACAGAACAGGCAGACTGAGGAAATATACACTGCTGAGGGGAGCAGCGGGCGAGACAGGAGAGGTCTGCCAGGCCATGTGGGATTCTCGCCGGCCGGCGGTGGGGATTGAACCCGAGCTGCAGAGTCTGTGGACAGCTTCACAGTGCAGCGCTCAATCGCCTGCGCCACCAGGGAGACACTATTTTAAAAAATAATTAAAAAGTGAAAATCGAATTTATACATGAACATTAAAGCAGCTTAGTTAACAAAGTAAATGGAATGGTGCATCAGGAAATTTCCTTTTAGAACAAACTTTAAATTTTGCTGGAGGAGTAGAAGATAAAAAAAAAATAAAATTTGCTAGATCCAAACCCATTCCATTGTACCCAAATGACACAAAAACACTAATTTGAAAGAAAACCTGCACCCCTATGTTCATTGTAGCACTACTCACAATAGCCAGGCTATGGAAACAACCTAAATGCCCCAAAACAGCCGGGTGGATCAAGAAGACGTGGTATATACACAGTGGAATACTACTCAGCCATCAAAAAAGATAAACTCATGCCATTTGCAGCAACATGGAGGAGCTGAAAGGGATGATGCTCAGTGTAATGAGTCAGAAAGAAAAAGATGATCGAATGATCTCATAACTCCACACAATTCCATATGTGGAATGTAGAGAAACCAAACAAAGGGCCAGGAAAAAGACAAACTTGCAGCTGCCCATTGATCTGGGGCATCCAGCAGGGGAGGGGTTCAAAACAGGCGCAGAATGGTTTTGCCTCAAGGCAAAAGCCAAGGAAGAGCAAAGGGCCAGAGGCGCTGGATCACAGAGCGGCAGTGATGGCAGAACTACGGGGATGCACCTGCCGGAGGAAGCACATACTGTCCAAACATTAACAACGATGGTATGAAAATTTAAAACAAAGTTCAATTCCAAATACCTTATGGAAACACCGCACCCTCAGGGAAGTGCAGCGTGACTGACACGGTGCAGTGACTTCCTTCCAAGGGCAGAGTCAGGGCACAGGCGGAGCAGCCTCATGGAGGAATCCCACACACACTGCCTCCGCCAGGTGGCCAAGGCCGGCACCCACAGTGGCCAGTCATGCTGATGGGGCGTCCTGGACACCACGTGCAAAGGATGCCCTGAACCCCTGGGGTTTCCCTCCCCAAAACCCCTACAGTAGACAAACCCCAGCAGAGGAACAATCGACAGAGCCCCTGACCAGCTCTTAACACAGTCCAGCTGGTCAAAACCAGGGGGGCTGGAGAGCAGTCTCAGCCAGGAGCGCCCAGGGAAGCCTGAGAAATCCAGTTACTATGGCAACTGGACGGGGCACATTAAAGAGCAAGAGGCAAAACCCAAGGAAATCTGAAGAGCATCTGGAATCCACTTAATAACAGCATGTTGCAGGCCTCCCTGGTGGGGCAGAGGTTAAGTCTCAGCGCTTTGAAGCTATCACCAGCCACGGCAGCATGAGCTCCATCCCCAGGCAGGGAGCTACCCACAGGGCGCAGCAGACCTCTCCTGTCTCCCACTGCTCCCCTCAGCAGTGGATTTTCAGTTAATCCACCTGTTCTGCTCCCCACTCTGACTGCAGTGAATCCTCTCACTAGAAGATTCCCACCCCTGTGACCGGTACCCCAGCTCCTGTATGCATAAATAAATAAATCTTAAAAAAAAATACTAGTATGCGATTAATTACTAATGTGCTCATTAATAAAAAAATACTAGTGTGCTCATCAATTATCACAAATGTGCCACACGGATGGGGAAGTGGGGGTGAGGCATGTGGCGACGACCCTACAAATCTAAAATTCTTCCTTTAAAAAGCATATTAAAAATAAAAATAAATTAAAAATAAATTAAAGTAAAATAACATTTGCAGGATCTATAAAGAGGCGATTTGTAGCTTAAGAGGCATTGAGTAGCTTAAGTTTAAAGCTCCAGAAAGAATTTTAATAAACAATTTACCTTTAAAGCCCAAGTCAATCTCTGGATGATCGCACCTCGAGTTGCTTTTGCGCAAAAGCAAATTCACCCCAGAGGATGGGAGAGCTCACACGGAAAGTCAGTCATTCTGTGCGAAAGCCCAGTACAGGCTCGTTGGGGGCCTCGGGGCAGTGGCCGGTGCCCGGCTGGAGCTGGGGTCTCCCGCCCGCCTCCGCCCAGGGCAGGGTTCCCGCACAGAGCAGGCGCCCGGAGCCCCGGCTCGGCTGCCAGAGCGGGCCAGAGGGGAGAGGCAGGTCACAGGACACGGTGAGAGATGTAGGACCTGGCGAGGCTAAGTGGGGAGTACAGCAGTGGGGAGTCACCTCGCCAAGGATTGCTGCTTGGCTGGCAGGGGCGGGGGGGGGGGGCGGTGCGAGGAGTGCAGGGGATGGAGGACGACGACGACGGGACCAGGAGCCAGAGGCGACAGCCAGATCCGACAGAGGGCCGCTGGGCCTCCCGCCCCGGGAAGGCAAAGACCAGGACCGAGAGGCCCTGCACATGCCGGATGGGGCGGGCAATGCTGCCGAGAGGCCAGGCACCCCCATCCCCTGGGGCCCCAGGGCAGGGTCGCCCACAGCCTGGGCAGGTACCAGCACCAGGATGCCCCAGCAGCTGGGCTTCACAGCCTTTCTTTTGTGACCGAGGCTAGAACTCAGGAACGGCCAGAGGACAGAGGCCCTGGCGGGGTACGGGGGCAGGGGGGACTCCAGCCCCTTCAGTCCATCCTCCCCACTTGCCACACGTTCCACCTGGCACGGATTCTGCTCCTTTTCAGCTGTGTGACCTCCAGCCAGCTGCCCACCCTCCCTCTGCCGCAGCTTCCTCCTCTAGAGGCCAGGGACAAAGGGTACCCTCGCCCTCAGAGCTGTTACAAGGGCTGATCTCTCCTGGCAGGCGGCATTTGCGCCCAGCATCCTGCTCCCTGAGGCCCCTGAGCAAATCCCCGCACGCGCTCCGGCTCTCCAGCCCCTCCGGAGCGACCCTCGGTGTTCACGGACAAGCCTGGCGCTCCAGCCTCCCCCGTGGAGGGCGAGAGGGCGTGTGGAGCACGGCATCCCTCACAAGCAGGGTTCTCGGGAAACCTCTGTGTCTCCTCAAGTTTTATTTCATCTTCCTGCAAGGCCGAAATGAAGCAGCTCTGGTCCCTTCAAGTTCTAGAAACACAACCTCATTTCCATGAGAAATAATTCTTCACTGTACAGAGATACACAGTGGGGGAGCGTGTTTGCAGAAAACCTCTTAAGAACCCGCAGGGGCTGAGGTGGAGCCTGCCTGGGTCCGACCATCCCAAAGGAGGCAACTGGCTGACCGGCCGCTGCCACCCTCACCCACCCAGGCCTGGGCCACAGACGAGCGCCCGGGCCAGGCGGGCAGCTAAGCAAAGTGTCGTCCTCAAGTCACCATTCGCTTCAGAATCAGGGGCAGCCCATCCTCTGGGGCCAGGAGCACATGCTGGCAAAACCCGGGCTCCCCAAAGCCCACTCAGCCCAAGATTCCCCCCCAGGGGAGGCAGTTCTGAGCCCAGCCCTGAGGGTGCAGCGCAGGCAAGAGCAGGAAACACGTCAGGAAGGAAGCAGCTGGGTCAGGTCCGAGGAATGCTGCCTAGTGGGCACGCCACCCCGGACAAGTCAACACGCCAGGAGGGTCTGCTGCCGGCTCGGGCCCAGCCTCACCCCAGAGTCACAAGTCATCAGCCCCGGGAGGCCCTGGCTTCGCACACCTTCAGGTCTACAAGGTAAAACTTTCAAGTGACCAAGAGCAAAGGGCCTCGCCTTCCCCCGCCCTCGGAGCAGGCTCGCGTCGCCTCCCAGAGGAGGAAGGTGAAGGTTCAGCTCCCTGTCACAAGCTGCTTCCTGGCCATCTCCAGTTCCAAAGCTCAAGCGCTTGCTCAGGCCAGGCCTGTAAGGACTGAGGCAGATCCCTGAGCACTTCCTGCCTCATGCTCCGTGTCTGAGGGGGTTCCTGGGGAGCCTCTGGAATTAGGTACACCTGACTCCCCAGAAAAGCTCCCAAAATCCTTCACACACTGGTCCTTGGACCAGCTGCCCTGGGACTCTGAAGCGGGCAGGAAGGATTCACAGCGCTCACAGATAGCCCTGGGAGGTCAGCACCGCGGCCAAGAGGTCTACACAACAGGCCAGGCTTGGCGGTGGACGCTGAGCTTAAGTGCTGAAGATGGATCTCTGTCTGGAATGGCTGAATCTCAGCCCCAGGCTGTAGCCACTGCCGGCCGGGCCTGGGATGACTTACCTATGAGCTGAGCATCAGCTGCTGACAGAACTCAGTGCCCAGCCAGCTCCACCTCCACACTAAATCCCAGCAGAGAAACACACAGGGGCTGGGAGTCGGGCAGGAGGGACACCGGGAAGGGACTGAAAGATGCCAGTCACCAGGCTTCCCTCTGAGCCCTCCTGGCCACCCTCCTCTGCCAGGGGCCCAGAGGCGGCAGTGAGTGCTGACAACGCTACAGCTCCATCCCTGCTCCAAAGCGTGCTGGCCATGAACCCTGAGTCAAGTTCCTGGACCTCCAAAGTTGCTGTGTCCTCAAGGGTAAAATGGGAGGACAACACCCCCCACCTCACGAGGTCGCCGACCCCCAGAACTGAGAAGCAGCAGGAAAACATGGGGCCCTACCGCGGTGGGCAGGTCCTCAGATTATTTCTGGGGCACTGGTGGGACTCATTCCTGGCTTCACTCAGCTCACAGTCTAGTTCAGATCAAGAACCCCGCATCGCCCTCCCTCTCCACCGCTCCCAACCCCCACAGACACCATCAACAGTGGTGCCAAGGAAGGTCTTTCAAAAGGCATTGTCCTGGGTGCCTGACGTGTGTCCAGATGTGCTGCTGGGCTCGCCTCCATCACCTGGACACTCCTCTCCCAGGGAACTCTCCAGAGCATGCCAATATATCAGCATATCTTGAGGCTTGACAAAATGGCAGGCCACAACCTTCTTGAAGCGACATGCGGAAAAGGCTAAGCCCTCTGGGAAGAAGGTCTGCTCCGTGTGAAGGGGCTCAGGTCTGATTTTCAGTTTGGCGAGGCAGAGCCCCACAAAGACATCTTCCAGCTTAAGGAACGGCACGCCGTGAGAAACGTTATACACCTGAGTGGCCACATCGCTGGAGAACACGTAGCCGGTGCCAGAGCAGAAGGGCGGGTACTTGTCCCACGGATACTCCTCTTTGCTCACAAACCACTTACTGTGCTTTTTCCGGATGGGAAGTTCATCCATTTTTAGGAAGCCGGTGAAAAACCCCGAGGTCCGGTTCTTCCTCAGAAGCAGCTCCGTCAGGTAGTAGACGTTGATAAACATGTCGGAGTCTGTTTTCATGACGAAAGCGGCCTGAGGACAATAGCGGTGGACCCACTCCATTCCCATCATGGTCTTCAGGGTCAGATTCACATAAACGTCCACAAAGTCCTTCTGGATGATGTCGCGATGCTGCTGGCTCTCCCGGGCCACCGCCAGAGACCTGTCCCTGCTCGACGGGGTTCCCAGGAGGAAGAATGTTTTTATTCGTTTTCCTCCGACCATCCTGTCTCCTCCCCAGGTGCTGCGGATGGCCCTGCGCGCGGATGTCTGATGGGGCGACGACGTCACCAGCAGGACCAGGAAGGGGGGCTGCTGCTTGCAGTCCATGTCTGGGAGCTGCAGAAAGTCCCCGTTTTCTCTCTTGAGAAAAAATGGACTTGCTTTCAAAGGGCTCAGATTGTGCATGCTAAGATACAAGCAAAGGGCTCCAAGCACCATCAGGGAAATATTTATCAACCTCATCTTCAGGGAAGCCATCTGAAAGAAACAGAACAAATGGTCAGAACTCAATGGCACACGGACTTGTTGACCTGGACCTGGGCGGTGGGCAGGGGAGGGACCGTGCTGCGAGCTGCTGTCTCCAAACCCTGCAACCTCACTGCACACGGGATGGAGTCTGGGGTTCAACAGAGAGGCAGAGAGGACGCCAGTGTCTTCACTCCGCAGTGGAAGGTCAAGGCCACAAGCTGGGGCACAGGTCCAGGCTTCCAAGGTCATCAGGGACCCAGTGGGAGTCAGCAACCCCATCCAGAGGACAGGGGACCACATACCTCACCGGGTATTTCCAGCGCCGTCCTCCTCAGGCTTCTACAGAAGTCAGCTAGGGAACCTGCGAGACTGGACCTAAACGTGTAGAGTGTTTGCCTTCTTCTCCTCCCATGAAATTAAGCATCCTTTGTCTTGTGCAGAAAGAAGCCAGGCCAGTTTTCTGATTTGCATATCTACCTTAGAATTCTGCCCCTGCTGGCAGTGCTGCGGTTTTTTCTTTCTTTTTTTTTCTTTTTTTCAAGTAACTTTGAAATCTTTTGAGTTTTTCATCTTTTGCTCATCTATCTTTTCATCTTTTGCTCTCTAGAAATCCAAGGTCCTTCAAGTTGATGTTATAACTATACGAAATCAAATAACTCACTTTTCCCTGGTTAAGATGAACCTCTGGTTTGAAAGCCACAGAATAGACTCCAAGAGGAAATGTGTGCCAAAGAGCCGTCAGTTTGTGAAGTCGGGCACCATCCGTTTCTGAGCTTGGTGTGTTTGCCAAAAATGAAGATTCTCTTGTTCAAGAACCACTGTAAGGAAAAACCAACAAGGAGAGTGTCATTCAAATCCTCCCTGCCTCCCTGGCAGTACCAATATTTGTTTTGGTGCCAGTTCAGCAGCTACCTACGTGACCTGGAGCCTATCCTCAGCCTCAGTTTTCGCTGAGGAAAAGTAATTCTATCTCTCTGATTCACTGTGGACTACAAGAAAGGCTGCAAGGGAGAACGCTCTCAGGCCTAATGATGGGTGAAGATTCCACTCTAAGCATTTATAGAGACATGGTGAACTCACTCGACAATTTTTTTCTGCCCACAATTTACCTTCTCTACATAACAGAGTCTGTGGTTGGAAATGAAAAAAATTTAACACAGATAAGAAACCCATTAATTCTCAACTCAGTGCCCCTGTCTTCAAAACATTATCCTGATGTGGAGCTAGCAAGAAAAGAAAATGACCCAGTGATAAGAAGGAAAGATTGGTATTTCGATGGCAAGAGACATTTTCATTACAATTCTGTTCCATATCTATGCAACACAACTCAGCCACCCAAGGAAAGACTTCAATTGAAAAATGGACAGAAGAGCTGAACAGACACTTCTCCAAAGAAGATACACAAATGGACAACAGACATATGACAATATATTCATCATCTATTATTAGGGACATGCAAATCAAAAGCACAAAGAGGCACCACTTCGCAGCTGTGGAAATGGCTATTATAAAAAAGGAAAAAAACAACAGTTGCAAGGATGTGGGTGGGGCAGCAACTGCCTCTCGATAGGGTACCTGGCCAGCTCGCCACATTTTGGAGAGCAGAGGAACATTGCCCTACCCTCCTTGGTCCACCTCAGACTAGTGGAGAAAAAAAAATCAGACAGATTAGGAGAGAAAGATGAAATTTAATTACATCTGTATGGAGCACTCCCATGGATATAAACTCTAGAGTGAGTGGGACAGACGGAAGGCCTATCTCCTGAGCCAAGGAATAGGATAAGGGTCTGAGTGTCAAGGAACGAACTCACGGCAAGAGGAGGGAAAACTTCCTATGGTAAAACCTTGCCTCTAGATCTTTCCCTGCCATAGATGGGTTTCTCAATTTAAAAAAAAAAAAAGAGCATTCCTAAGGAGGACCCTAAATCTGGAGGAGGAGACACCCGAGAGGACCAGCCCACGACCCGAGGCAGCAGATTGTCGGGGAAGAAAGGACCACGATTCGGAGCTCGCCAGTGCTGATGCAGGGAGAGGCCAATGGACTTGGACTAATGGACTTGGACTGACAATCCCGCCAGAAGGCGGAGGAACTTTGGCAGGGTAATGTTTTGGGGACCCTGGCGGAAGATGGTATTGTTTGTAAACCCCAGGAGATGGGAATATGGGGGTGGCCAGTGGGCCTTGATGGCCAAAGCAGCCTGTGTACTGCCCAGCAGCCAGGCAGAGAGAAAAAGCCAACTTAGAAAAGCAAAAGCTGGTGCTCAGATTTGGAAGCCGTGAGCGGCTATTTAAAAGCTTAAAAATGTTGAAGGCCAGTGAGTCTCTTAAAATCACCTGTGGGTGATGCCCTGCTCATTGCTGAGTGAGGAGCTGAGGAACCCGTCCTTGGGGGACAGGTGGGGCACGTGGCTTGTGGTGAAGCCCAAGCCAAAGAGGGGACCCGGAGAGGCCGCAGGTAGAGCTTGTATCCACGGATACCGACCCATGTGCTTGTGCAATGGGCTGGCCTGAGTGCAGGGGTCTGCGTGTCGCACTGGTGACTCTGAATGCCGAGTGCTGGAGCGACCGCAGACAGAAACCCTGAGGATTGGATGATTACCCGCAAAGTACAGAATCGCCAATCCAAGAGTGAGCGCATCCGGGGGTGGATGCTGTGTGGCTGCAGCCGAGACCACAGTTGGATAGTTTCCCCCTTGAATGAGCAGTGCCTCTGGCAGCAGAAGTCCTGGATCATCTGCTGGTGCCAATAATTCTTTTGCCACTAGGTTGGTGCCCTGCCTGGACTAATTTGTGTTCTGTTGTATTTTGTTATGTTGTGATGTACACCATTTGCTTTTGTGGGCCATGGCTGCAGGCTTCTATTGCCAAGAGAAACGTATATGACCTGTATATAGACTTGTGTAGACTGGCAGAAAACCCTGAGGGGATGGATTGTAGGGCAAGGTAAAAAGTATCAGGCTTTTCTGCCCTCCCGCCATCAGGATGGATGAAGGATCCCTGCGGTCCTGAATGCAGGCCTGATGGCGGCACCTGGAGTAGGGTGTGGGCATATGTAGGTGGGTACACCTGGGCTGAGACGGGGCTTTTAAGAGTGGGACGGAACCACCAGGAGAGAACAAGACTGGCAGAGAGAAAGAGAAGCCGAAGAGAGAATGAGACCCCGAGAGCACACCGGAGAGCCCAGGAAGAGTGAAGCCTCACCAGGGGCTGAGAGGCCTGCCCGCCTCCCGGCACCCCTGCCTGCCGGGTACCAAGTAAACTCAGTAAAAGCCTGAAAAAGCCACCGAGGGCTCCAGGATCATAGAGATCCTGCTCTGTGCCTTCCTGGCACTGCAGAAAGACAATAGGAATAAGAGCCTCAAGAATACACCCATCGAGGGTTCTCCGCAGAAGAGGAGGCCACGGCATGAGCCAGCGTGCCCCACCCCCATGCGACTCAGTCTGCACCAATACGTCTCCCCAGCAGGCAGGCGATCTGGGCACACACCTGTCCCCCGGAGAGCAGAGGAGCATAACCAACCATTTAACAAATGATTTATTTTAGGAAAGGGACGGCCAGTGTACATTTTGGTTATGTAGAAAGGCTGGCGCGACGGGAAAAGAACTCAGTGAAGCAGAAGCCCATGTACGTGGTCACGTCACGACAATTTACTGGGGAAGAGCGATCTTTGCAGCAAGTGCTGGGCCAGCCTGGGGAAAAGGCGCCTGACCCCCGCCTAACACCATACGCAAAAGTCAAATCCAGATAGACAGCAAATCTAAAGGCGGAAGATTTCTCTTACTAAAAGAAAGATTTTCTGATCTTGGCCTGGGCAATTATTAAGCAAAACACAAGAAAACTCCATAAAAGAAAAGGATAAACAGAATTTCAAAAGCTCCCATTCAAGAGAGTTCAACGGCAAGTCACTGGATGTATTTGCCCTGCACAATCTGATAAGGACTGAAAGGGCACAAGGTGAAACCCTCTGATGAGTCAATAAGGGAAAAAAACCACAATTTAAAAAAAATCGTGAACAGTATTTCACAAAAGATAACAAACGGCACACACAGAAAAGGGTGACGTCGTGAGTCATGAGTGAAATGGAAATAAAACCACAGTGAGACCCACCACCCCATCAGCGTGCAGCCCAGCCCGACTCTGACGCACGGCCGGCCGGGAACGTTCAGAGTCGCTGCTTCTCCAGGGCCAAAACCGCTGTACCGGCTGGGTCCAGCCAGGGACAGCAACTGCACGGTCACCTGAACAGGGAACGTTCAGGCCCATGAGTGTGCGGAGGGCAGAGAGCGTGACCCCACTACCTAGGGGCTGCAGGGCGTCGCCCGCTGGACCCCTCACCCGTGGGGTCCCGGATGCCACTGGGGCAGGGACAGCTGCAGGAGGGGTCCCTGCAGCAAGAGACTCAAGGTGCCAGAGTGGCCGTGGGAAATGCAGCCGGTCCTCAGAGCAGCGCGCCCCTAGGGCTGAGGAACAGGGAGGGGTAAGCCCCCCCCACTGCCCCCACCACCCCCACCCCCCCACCCCCACTAGGGCGCAGGAGGCTGGCTGAGCACAGAGGACTCGCAGCACAATGGGAAAGTCATGAGCAGGAACTTGATAAATGGCATCAGCATGAGCCAGAAAGTTCTTTCAAGAGTAGAATGGTGTATGAAGTGTTACACAGCCATTAAAATACACACCACTGACATACCCACGATGAGTCACGGACAGCCGGCCCGGGCGTGGGGAGAACGGGGCTCGAGTGCATGAGCCCCTTGACACCTAGTTCACCAGGCAGATGGCAGCGGGCAGGAGAGAGGCAAGCTGCTGCCGGGACCCCCTGGAGAGCCAGGTGGGGCGACCCCGTGATCTGGACAATGCTTTCATGGGCACAGATGTGTGTAAATGTCCATCAGGCCTACAGCTGGGGTGTGGCATTTTGCTGGAAGTTGTGCCACATTAATAATTTTTAATAATTCTAATGAAAAATCAATCTCTAAAAAGCTGTCTTCTGTAGAATTTCCCAAGTGTACTGACCATACATCACGTTTGTTCCCGCAGTGCATTTCACGGGCCAGCGTGTCGGAGACCAAACCCAGCTCTGGGGGTGCCCCTTTGTGAGCGAGGCGCGGGGGGAGGGGCAAGCCGGCTGCCAGCAGAGCTGACTAAACCACAGCCTCGCAGAGACAGGGTACAGCTCGCCCGCAGGGCTCTGGCAGGGGCGCCGGGTTCTGACGAAAAGCAGAGGCAGGAGCAAACCAGGTTCAGATGATGGCCTTGCCGGGAAGGCCGGGAGAGGCAGGTAAGGGCAGGGTGACGGCACAACGGCCATAGGGGCAGTGTCTTCAAGTGTCCGCTACTGCCAGCGCCTGCCGTGTGATCAGGGAACAGGGATGCACTTGTCCCGGGTGCAGGGCAGCAGAAGAGGGTGGTGAGAAGTGGCCAGTGTCCACATGGCAGCTGAGAACAGGCTGACCCAGGGCAGGAGGGGGAGGGGCAGACCCTCCCAAGCAGAAAAATACCTTAAAATTAGGATGCATTTTATTAATGAACTTTTGTAAAATCAGATGGCTGCCACCCCAGGAAATAAAACCTGCTTTTCCTGACTCCTCTGAGGCAGGGTCGCTGCTCCCACCCATCAGAAGGCGGGGCGTGGAGGGCAGGTTCCTGGATCAAGGTGTGCGGGGCGGCTTGGAGGCCTGTGCCCCTGGCATAAGACCCATCGTGACTTCTACGTAAGCCTGAGCTGAGCAGCCAGGGTGACACTCGGTCACGCCAAGGCCACACTCCCTCCCACACCCCCTGGCTGCCCACCACATCCCCCCACAGACAAGGGGGCGC